TTGTGCTCTCCACGGTGAATTACTTGGTTCAATGATGTTTTCTTTCAATAATCTTTGTATTTCTGTTTGTATAAATCTGTAGTCATCATTAGAAAACCGTCTAGATTTAATAGCAATAGGCTGGCAATTGTCTGTTAAATTCGCGAACAGCGGATAAGGTTGAATATTTGCTGTTACTAGATTACAGATAGAAAGTTTTGATTGATTTCCACCAAAATTGAATTCTACTCCAGAATGATTTTGAAGAATATCATGTCCAATTATAACTTCAGAACAGAGATTTTCCATCACGTAAAACTTGATATTTTTGTACACATGATCTGATATTTTCAAAATCACAATACAGTATCCACAAACAGGAGAATTTAAAGATGAAGCAGCCATTGTGACATTGAGATTCGTAGGAAACACTTTGATACGTCTCTGTGTGGTGACAGTTTTTGAGATATAACTGTCCGAACTTCCAGTATCAATTAATGCATCAGTTGGAATATGATTGACTTCAATTTTAATAATAGCTTTCGATAAACAAGATGTTGAGGCTGCTGACATCATTCCAATCATAGCAGCTGAGGTTTTATTTGAATAATGAGATTGTTTTTGATATTTTGATCTACATACTTGTGTGAAATGACCAATTTTTCCACAGGAATGACAGGTTGCATCTCTTGCTGGACATTTATCTCTAGAGTGTCTGTTTCTTCCACAAAAATAACATTTTGATGTAATTACGGCAAGTGTTGTATCCATTTGTTCATTTGATTGTTGAACTTAAGTCGATGATTGATTTGCTACAATTGAATTGACGTACGAATTTGAGGTATAAGATTCTGACTGTTGTTGGGCCATTTCTAAAGACCTAGCTGATTTATGTGCTTCTTCTAAGTTCAGAGTCGTATGTTCTAGAAGTCTTTGCCTAATGTGAGATGTGGCCAGACCACTAATAAATGAATCTCTTATGTAGTCATTTTTATTCTGTTCAGCAGTGACTGCTTTGAAATTACAGTCCTTACTTAATTGTATCAGAATTTGTAAGTACTGGTCTATAGATTCACTTACTTGCTGTTTTCTAGTGGATAAAGTATGACGGGCAAAAATTTCACTCTGTGTTTTTACATATAACTTTTCGAGTATGGCGACTGCTTCTATGTAGGAAATACATTCACTAATAGACTGATAAACTGAAGAACTCACATAGTTTACTAGAAGGTTTAATTTGTCCTTATCTTCTGATATTTTGGCAGCTTCTAAAAAGTTCTCAAACGTTCGTTTCCAGTGGATCCATAACTGGCTAGCATTGTTTGAATGTGTGTCAATTTCTAGTCGTTCTGGCTTGAGTAATTTGTCCATTGATTGGGTAATTATTAGCTTATTAAATTGTAGTAAAAGAACCTTTAGAATTAAGGCTTTAATAAGCTAAAATTCAATACAGTATTTTCTGACAATAACTGACAACATGACATACAACATACAGGTACATAAATATAGGGAACACAGTAAATAGTAAAGTAATGAAATATATAACATCGAGTAAAAAATCAAACGGCACGGATGCTCTCTACCTTACGATCAGAAGAGGCAGGCACATCAATTCAAATGTGTAACAGCAACAGCCATACAGAAAAAAAATTAAATTGCAGCAATGGAAATAGTTTCCAGGGCAATTTTGATAATTGTAAATTTATTATTTGTAATAATAATAATGATGTTAATAGATTTTTAGAATAAAGGATGAATTGCAGTTTTCAATAAAGCTTTTTTGTCAAAATTTCTATTTTTTCTGAAAGTTTTACCCATTCAAGGTAAAAGCGGGAGTTATAGAAATCCTTAACTCCCTTGGGAGTTTTGATATCCTTAACTCCCTTGGGAGTTAAGACCCTGTTTATGATTATCGTAACCAAGGTATTATATGGTTGTAATAGTTCAGTAGGATATAAATAATAAAACACACCAACAATCACCCCCAGACCGCAACGGAGGTTCCAAAATATTCCATGAATATTCCCTATCGTCTAGGAATAATCCGCTCTGTTTCAGGAATATTCATATGGAATATCCCAGGAATGATTCGATTGAACTTCAAAGAATGAAACAGGATTATTCCGAATTAATATATTTTTTCTTAATATCCGTAAAACGCATATTTCGTAATAAAATATAAAATTGTATGACACTACATAATTTTTTTTTAATGAAATTTGAATTTGCATTGTATTGATTGTATTGCACATTCATTCATAGAGGGTTATCGAAGGTCGGTTCTGCTCTCTCGCTCTCGCTCGTTGCTCGTTCCGTTCCTTCTTCCAGAGTCGCAACCAAACCGACCGCGGCCCGCTAGCTTCCCCCACCACCCCGTGCCATCACGTAGCAGGTACCGCAGCGCACCCCAGTCAGTTGAAGCGTTTGGGGTTTACCTGTTCCTGTTGCTTTTGTTTCACGTTCACGTTCATTCGTTGCCGTTCGTAGTTCTTGTGCCGCCATTCAGGTAAGTTTATTTTTTTACTACTAACCTGAGAAATAGACATTATTCAATCTATTTTTCTAAGAAAAAATTGAATTTCTCTCCCTAGGTTAATAATGAAAATAATGAAAAAATACCTAGGTCAATAATGAAAATGACGTCATGACGCAAGGATATTGTCGTGTTTCTATTGGTTCAATTTCAGTTTCATACGTCAAATTGAAAAAAAATACAGTTTATTTATTATTACTATTCTTATAGACTATTGACTAATTTCAATCAATGACCGCCGTAAGACAAACATTTTATTTTAAATTAAAGTTAACGGTTCTTCAAAAAAAAAAAAACAATCAAAAAATTGCTATATACTTAATAATAATGAAATTGGCTTTAATAATAGTCGATTAACTTTTTAAATATAATATATTTTCGAGAAGGACGCTTACAATCATGCTGCTACCGCCCAAAACATGAAAACATAACCTCTTTTGCCAATTTTTCAATCCGCCTTTATACTAGTTTATACCCGTTTTTCCGACCTGCTGACATGACATGTTGGCGGGGAGGCGCGAAATTTAAATTCAAATTAATTTACAGATATGGCTTTTTAAACGTATGTCCTAGCTTGAACTTTAATGTCAAAAATCCTGACTATAAAAAACAATAAATATGAGGTACGTTTTTGTAATCAAAAAAATCTTTCAGGGCATTTAGTTCAGTCAAAGAATACTTATTCCTCTCGGAAAATGCCAAAATAATGTTACTTTTGGTTAAATATTAAATTATTGCATAATAGGCCAGGAGATTTTGTGATATCGATCCCCTTTTTTTAAACCCACAGTATGAGTGTGGCTCGGAATGAGGTATTCATTTTTATGACCTAAATTTGCAATACCTACTTAAAATTCTGAAAAAATTGTTTACCTATGGTTTATATTTTTTGGAACCAATAATCAATAATTGATTTTCATCTTCCAAATGCCAGGTTTTTTTTTTAAATTGTTTCGGTTCAGTTCAATGTTCGTTTGTAAAAATAGGATTATAAGAAATTGTTAGAAATCTCTCATTTAGAGTGAAAAAAATTTCAGCATGCCAAAGGTCAGAGTTACTAAAAGGCACCTCAGACGATTGATTAATAAGGAAGTTGATGAGTTTTTCAAAAATAATGATAATAAAACTGACACTGAGTCACTGCCCGACGTCTGTACAATTAACAACGATTTATCCCTTGCCGGGCGCTCTCACAAAGATGAATATATTATGTGTGACAATGATGACAGCCAATTACCTGCAAACAATAATGATCAAATTTTCAATTTCGATTACACAGAGTATGTTTCAAATAGTGATGAAAGCTCGGATGAAAGTATTCTTCATAATAATTGCTCAAATGAAAATAGTTTTACTGGTTCAGATATCAACGAAGCTGACATAGAATTTCATGACGTTTCCGATACAATAATTACTAATGAGGCAAGAAGTTACAATAACAGCCCTCCACTTACTGAGAAAATTAAAACCTGGTTTGTCAAACACAAAATTAGTCATAACGCCCTAAGGGACTTTTTGATGAATATCGCTCCTGAAATTGCAGATTTAAAAAATTGTCCAAAAGACCCTAGGTCGTTTTTAGGCACTCCACGCACTATCCAAAAACGTCGCGTGGATCCTGGTTATTACTGCCATATTGGTATCGAAAATTCTATTGAACAAAACTATGTAAATCTCAATTTGGAACCTAGCAAGGAAGTAATAAATGTTGCCATTAATATAGACGGTCTTCCACTAGCTAGCAGTTCGTCTAGTCAGGTTTACCCGATTTTGTGTATCAACAAGTCAATTGACAATAGCAATAATATTTCAGTAGCAGGCATATACCACGGTTATCAAAAGCCTGAAAGTTTCAACGATTTTTTGAGAGATTTTGTTGATGAGGGCAAAATACTAACCGAAAATGGAATAACGATATTTGGAAAATTGTATAAATTTAAAATTACGATGTTTTTATTTGACGCTGTTGCCAAGGCTAGCGTTTTATATTGTAAGGGCCATTCTGGCTATAATTCGTGCACTAAATGTAAACAAAAAGGTCGGCGTATCGAAGGAAGGGTATGCTTCCCAGATACTGCTTTCGAATTACGCACCAATGAGTGCTTTGTGTCAATTTGAAAACAGGTTCCTTAATGGATTAACAATTTTGAGAGAAATACCCGGTATTAATTTCCTCACGGACGTTCCACTTGATTATATGCATTTAATTTGCCTAGGTGTTGTCAAGAGGTTGGTTGTGAAGACATGGGCGTTCGGTTTAATTCCCCACAAATTTTGCAGCCGAGATTTTCAAACAGTATCTCATAATTTGGAATCTTTGAAAAAATTCATACCATCTGATTTTGCACGCGTTCCGAGATCGCTCATAGAAAGCAAACGTTGGAAAGCTACTGAATTCAGACAGTTTGTTCTTTACTCTGGCCCTGTCGTTTTAAAATCCGTCATTTCAAAAACCAAATATAAACATTTTCTAACTTTGCATGCTGCAATGGTCATATTAATAAGTGAAAATCTATGCCCTCGTTATTTAGATTTTGCAGAAGAATTATTATTGCATTTTGTGAAATCAACAAAGATAATTTATGGGTCGCATTTCTTGTCTCACAATTTTCATAATCTGTTGCATTTAGTTGGTGATGTGCGTCAACACGGATGTCTGGATAATTTTAGTAATTTCAGCAGTGAAAATTTTTTACAGAAAATAAAAAAATTAATAAGAAAGCCCTCCGACATATTGCAACAAGTGGTGAAGCGAATTACTGAAATTAACTTGCATTTACGAAAAAATACTTATAATAATGAAACAGCTGAATTCAGATTAGATAGACCGCACTGTAATGGAGTTTTGATCCAAAATTGTGATGGTCCTCAGTATAAAAGGGCTACATTCAAGCAATTTCAGATTTCAATTAATAATAATGATTGCTGCTGCATTTTGGAAGATGGGAAAGTAATTCTTGTAAAAAATTTTGCTATCTGTTCTAAAACTAATGAAGTTGTTGTTATTGGAAAATATTTTAAATCAATGGAAAATTTTTATACCGAACCATGCGATTCGTCTCTCCTTGAAATATTTTTTGTGAAAAAGTTAAGTAATCTTTGCTACTGGCCGATAAAAAATATTAAAAATAAACTAGTAAGATTGCCATATTCTGATGGTTTTGTGATTTACCCCTTACATCATAGTAACAGTACTGAAATTGATTGAAATTCTATTGGTTATAAATTTTTTGTTAGTTTTATTATTATCACTGTTTTCATTTTTTTTTCAATTCATTCGACGCTGAAACCTCAAATTCAAATATCTCTGTCTTACTTTTTACCATTTTTTTTTTTTTTTTATCATTGTTCTAAAGTCTAAGGATTGTCATATAAAGCATAATACTTATTCGGTATGTTTTCCGGAAGTAAGCAAATATGTAACTATTTTATAATATTAAATAATATTTCAGTAATGGAGGAAGAAAAAGACTCTCCGCAATGGAGAATTGTAAGATTCTTTGATAAGCCAAATGATAAGAAATATGTAGAAGTGGTACCCCTTTCGTGGGTTATTGATGAGAAAGAATGCGTTTGGCCACCATTTCAATCGAAAAAACAAATAGAAAGTGCCATCAAACATTGTATTACTCCAGAAAAGGATCAATGGAAAATATATACAGATTTCAAAGCTTCCAAGAAGTTCTACAGCAAGTTTTCTACGGCATCAGCAAAAGCTAACCAGTATCTTCATTGTTCAGATATGGAGCAAAGCAGTGAACAAGAGATTGGTTCACAAAAAAGACACATTAAAAAGAATTTAAAGTACAATAAACACGAATACACATCCGAAATCAGTACTTCATCCGACGATGAAGGAGACGAACCACTAGCCAAATTAATTCCCAAATTTCCTGAGCCAAGTAAAAATTTGCTTAAAAGTTCTGATAACAAGGTCAAACCTCAGCCAAATGCAGTCAAGAAGATTGGTATTAGTCTAAATTTTTGTATTTCACTTGAGGACTACATGCTTTATTTTTAGATAATTCCAAGCTTAATTTCAAAAGTTTTAAGCAGGACCAGACAGAAAACTTATCACATACAATATTATCAAAATCGGCAAGGCTCGTTCAAGAAAAAACTAATACAGGTGATGATAAGGAAGAAAGTAATTCCGCGTGGAAACAGGGTTTCCGATAATGAACCACCCAAGTATTTCTAATAAACACAGCGAACATATTGAGAGTGGACGTAATAATACATTGCAGATATATTATTTTTAAAAATTAAAATTTGCTAATTTTCAGATGAATCTGAGTCTGACTGCAGATCTTCTAATAATAGTAACGATATTGAAGAGGAGTCGAATCTCAGCGATGATAGAGGTGCACAAGCCAATAAGAACAAGCCAACACAACAAGGTTAATAAACAACTAAAGTCTGTTTTTGTTTTTAAGATAATTCCGCAAGTCAAAAATTTAGTAACTATGTTGGCAACACAAGCCTTTTCTACATAAAAAATTTGAAAGCACTGACAATTTTATGTTGTATTGCCAACATAATGTCATTTTGACTTTTAACTTAAAAAAAAAAAACTTATAGCCAATTTTAAACGATTGACCAGTCGGTCATCTTGACATGACGTCAGCTAAGACCAATGGCTGTGACCAATTGGTTGAAAAAATGACATTTAATTAATGGTTTATCTGTAACGATGACCGATCGGTCAAACGCTTGAAATTGATCTATCTTTTTTTACCTTGACTGCGGGCGCAACTCATGGGTTTCAGGTGAGCATCCAATGAGAAGCGAGTTTGTTACGGGCTTGCGTCATATTCTTATTCAGGAGCCAGTTCAGAATTAATCTTTAGTAGATAATCAAAGGGGGTATGACTACAAAATTCCGACCATAACCTCAATCTTTCATTCTTGACACGTGGTGGATGCGCCGTCGTTGACACGAAGGTGGATGCGCCGCCATGGCCCCATCTTGTCGACAGATGGCGCCATGGGACCTGCTCCCGCAGGGCTCTGCCCCCCAAAAAGGGGGCCCGCAGGGCTCCGCCCCCCAAAAATGGGGCCCGCAGGGCTGCGCCCCCCAAAAAGGGGCCCCCGGATTTTAATATGGGTACCAGAAAAAGGGGTGGGGGAAATGTTTTCCCGCCATTTTGTCAACCGTCACCTGTCAAACGTCACCTGTCAAACGTCACCTGTCAAACGTCATCTGTCACCTGTGATGACGTCATACCGGGTTATTGCGGTGAATTCTTGCAATTACAGGTTCCTGTAATATGGAGTTTGCGTGGAAGAGATTGTTCCGAGTCGTTTCGGGTTCTGTGATGACGTCATAGCGCCCTGGGTCACGTCCGTGGAGTCATTTAGAGTACATAGTGCAAAGTTTGATTCAGGGTTCGCGTTCTGTGATGACGTCATAGCGACCTGGGTCACGTCCGTGGAGTCATTTAGACTACATAGTGCAAAGTTTGATTCAGGGTTCGCGTTCTGTGATGACGTCATAGCGACCTGGGTCACGTCTGTGGCGCCATTTAGAGTACATAGTGCAAAGTTCGATTCATGGTTCGGGTTCTGTGATGACGTCATAGCGACCTGGGTCACGTCCTTGGCACCATCTAGAGTACATAGTGCAAAGTTCGATTCATGGTTCGACCTGGGTCTCGTGGGTTACGTCAGTTTGTGTCGGTGGCACCATCTAGCGTACATGTGACAAGTTCGATGTGTCTTATAACAGGATGCTGTGGTGGTGACGTAACTATGAGGGTCCAGCAGCTAGCTTCATGTTGTACCTGGTAGAGGGTGTTCGAACTCAAGGATGAAACACACCTACAGGATTGCTTATTGACCTCGTGTGTTACCATTTACGACGCCATAACTAAGCCATCAGCTGTTTAAACAACCTACGTCAAGGCGAGAAATAACATGCTGCTTACGTCACAACTGGTGATTTAACGTTGGGGAGAGAGTGGATTTGTTCCACACAGGCCTTATGAGGATAGGCTATCCTGTAGTAGTAGTGTGTATTATCCTTGGTTGAAACCAACATTTGATGGGGAAGGGGCCTCGTTTTTTTTTTATTAAAAACATACATTTTTCAAGACAACGATTTCAAAAAGCGAATATTTTCCATCAATAAACTGCTTAATGATCTAATCATTTTGGTGGTACGTCTTGGGAGAAACACTGCGTTGTCGTCAAATTCAACGTGTATTTCAAATCCATAGCTAAAAATATGCCACAATTGTATCGATTACCTAAGTATACAGGGTGACTGGTAAGTGGACGTATTCCTTTGAGGAGATGACATTAGAGCCTATTTGCTACCGATTAAACACTATTTACCTCTATACCATTCTTAACGGTTTTCGCGATATTTTCATTTTTCTAATTTTTATAAAATTCACTACCTTATGAGGCAAATATTTAAAATTAACGAAAATAATAAGGACCTTTCTGAAAGTCGTGTTTTAAATTTTAAGCTGACACACTGACAAAAATATCAGCAGTGAAAATTATCGAAACACTAATGTTAACTATTGAGTTATTGCGGTTTAAACTTAACTTTTCTTGTTAAGTTTCTAACTAATGACTTATTTAACCCTAAAAATATCGAAAATTTCATAGTACTTCAAACGTACAAATAATTGGCAAAAGTACTCCATTTTATTGTCTCCAAGATAAGGTACATTATTTCAGAATTAGCTTTTTGCTTTCTTGTTAAATAAATTATTTTTATTTTAAGGAGAGACGATATAATTTTCAACAGAATTCTAATTTATACCTGTTTTGGATATCAAGTGTTGCAATAAAAATTTTATCAAATTTTTTAGTAGCTAATAGTAATAGTTTTTAGTAAAGAAGTAATTATTATTTTCTGCTTGAAAATTTTGAAATTTTCATAATAAATTACTGGCACTCTATGGCCAAGCATTGTTGAATGCATTCTCTTTCAAATAGTTCACAATTGGCACCTAATTTTTTCGTTCCATAATAAAACAATAATTACCATTTGAAAAAATGTATTTCCTATCATAATAAAAAAAACAACATTCTCAAAATGAAATGGAAAAACTTTTTGATACAATTTAATCAATAACTCATTAATTTTCAAAATGACTAACCCCATTCCTTATGCAATTACGAGCCCGTCTTCGTATTTCTGTCCTGGTTACTCGATTTGAAAAGTTCTGTCGCAATATCGCAACAGGAGTTAAATCAGGGCTCCTAACAGGCCATGGTATGGGTCCACCTCTTCCAATCCATCTATTCGGAATCCTTTGGTCTAAGAGTGCCCTTATTGTTAGACGATAGTGTGCAGGACATCCGTCAAGCTGGAAGATCATCTGTTTGCCTGTTCGCTAAAGGGACATCTTGTAGTAGCTCATACAAGTTGTTACGTGAAAATTCTTCATAATTTTCACCGTTAAGGTTATCAGGTAAAAAATCAAAATTTGTTATTCCTTCTCTAATATTGTAGCATCCTCAACATCCGAATTCAGAATAAATCTGCAGAACTGAATTCTGCGAATTAATGGTTTCTTTATGCTGAAAAATTTCGAAAACTTCATAAAGTGTGTTTTTTTTTTAAAGATAATTCCCCAAGTCAAAAATTTAGTAACTATGTTGGCAACACAAGCCTTTTCTACATGAAAAATTTGAAAGCATTGACAATTTTACATTGTATTGCCAACATAATGTCAGTTTGACTTTTATCTTTAAAAAAAAAAACGCACTTTAGTCCACCAAACGTACAAATGATTGTTAAAAATTCTCTATTTTATTGTCTTTAAAATAAGGTTGTTTTATTGTTGATTTCATAATTTTCATTTGTAGGAGTAACGGTTTTATTCTCGCATTTAGAAGAATTGTAAGTTCAGACTAAGTAAGCAACATTATTTTCCAGTCTTTTCTTATTGCAATTTGGTGTGATACTCGCCAATCATGTTGATATTTATCAACAGGTATACCATACGCATTTTTCCATTTTTTGAATTAATAATAATAAACAATAACAAAATTTAGTTTCAGTTTTTCGTCCAAAGTTTTGATTTAAATAGTTCTGATGATAGTCTTTCGCTGTTAACTTCTATCTAAAATGGCAACGTTTAGCTATGCTGAATATGCGGACATTTTATTTATTTATGGTTTTTCCAATGGAAATGCAGCTGAAGCTCAAAGAGAATATGTACGTCGCTTCCCAAATAGGCGCATTCCACATGTTAGTGTGTTTGGTGCAACTTACCGTCGCATTTCAGAATCTGGCAGCCTTCAACGAGTAGAACGCGTAGGAGCTCCTCCTGCAGACGTTAACATTGATGGTGAAATTTTGAGACTACTTGAAGAAGGTCCAACAACAAGCACCAGAAAAATTTCCCGACAGCTGGGTGTTTCACAATGGAAGGTCTGGTCAGTGATTCATCAAAATGGTCTTCACCCATTTCATCACACTCCTGTGCAAGGACTAGACGAGGGTGATCCGGCGCGCAGAGTTCAATTCTGCAGATTTATTCTCCATGCGGATATTGAGGATGCTTCATTTTTAACAAGAATTTTATGGACCGATGAATCAAAATTTAGCAGAGAAGGAATAACAAATTTTCATAATTGGACCTCATTTTTTACCGGATAACCTTAACGGTGAAAATTATGAAGAATTTTTACGTAACAACTTGTATGAGCTACTAGAAAATGTCCCTCTAGCGAACAGGCAAGAGATGATCTTCCAGCATGACGGATGTCCTGCACATTATCGTCTTACAATACGGGAACTCTTAGAGCAAAGGTTTCCGAATAGATGGATTGGAAGGGGTGGACCCATTCCATGGCCTGCTAGGAGCCCTGATTTAACTCCATTAGATTTTTATGTATGGGGGCACCTGAAAGAAATCGTATATGCCACGGAGGTAAATACGCGCGAAGAACTGATTGAAAGGATACAGAATGGGGTTGCGATATTGCGACAGAACTTTTCAAATCGAGTAACCAGGACAGAAGTAAGAAGACGGGCTCGTGATTGCATAAGGAATGGGGGTAGTCATTTTGAAAATTAATTACATCACTTGTTGGAAAAGTTTTTTCATTTAATTTTGAGAATGTTGTTTTTTTTTTATTAGGAGAATGTTGTTTTTTTTTTATTATAAGGTAGGAAATACATTTTTTCAAATGGTAAATATTGTTTTTTTTTCAAAGATAAAAGTCACACTTACATTATGTTGGCGATACAATGTAAAATTGTCAATGCTTTCAAATTTTTTATCTAGAAAGAGCTTGTGTTGCCAACATTGGTAGTGAATTTTTGAATTGGGAATTATCTTCAAAAAAGAAACAGACTTTATTTGGAAGAGAGTGCATTCAAGAATGCTTGGCAATAAAGTGCCAGTAATTTATTATGCAAATTTCAAAATTTTCAAGCAGAAAATAGTAATTACTTCTTCTTTACTAATAACTATTACTATTAGCTAGTAAAAAAATTGATAAAATTTTTATTGCAACACTTGATATCCAAAACAGGTATAAATTAGAATTCTGTTGAAAATTATATCGTCTCTCCTTAAAATAAAAATAATTTATTTAACAATAAAGCAAAAAGCTAATTCTGAAATAATGTACCTTATCTTGGAGACAATAAAATGGAGTACTTTTGCCAATTATTTGTACGTTTGAAGTACTA